ATAATCATTATCATCCCAACACTTAAACCTTTTATAACCATTAACAGTTAAACCTTTTATAACCATTAACAGTTTAACAGTCTACTAACAAATGGTTCAGTTGCCTAAACTAGGAATACCACAAAATATACAGAAGTACCCATTACTGAAAAATTAAAATTTCTGTATTTCAGCTTTGACTATAGTATTAAAATCACAACATAAAAGAGAAAAATGTTTCCTGTAATAACTTTTAGCAACATCTTTGTACCTATCAAGGTTGAAGCACAACCTTTGTCACTTTATTTTACTTCTCTTTTGGGGACATTAGGAGAGAGAGACTGAAGAGATAAATTCTCTTCATACTTCTAAGTGTTCTGTCTTGAAGATAACTTCACTTAGCACTTTTTTTGAGCCCCCAAATTTGGTATCACAAAGTGTTTGATTACAGCAATAGTTACAGCAGTCCCATTAATACCATTTTCTATATTCATGCTTTCACCAAACTACTGCTTTGGTAAGTAGACACAGAAAACATTATAAGGTGAACACAACGCATTATAAATAAAAAGCATGCTCATTCCAGGTTGCACACCACAAGATTTCTCCTTCTGGAGGTACTTGCTCTGCTCCTGTGAGATGCACTGACATTCAAAGAACTCTTGAAAATGAAATTATAAGAATATATCAATATATGAAATAAACTTAAAAACTTAATTCTAACTGTTAATCTTTACTGAATGAGACAAAATAACCAAAGCAGTCAAAGAAATTCTAGGTAAGCCCACCTAAATGAGTTCAGTTATCTGCTCAGTTCAAACCCTCTTTTTTAGACAATGGTTTAATCTTTCTGTCTTTTATAGGAACAAAGCTTCTTAAGCAAACCAATCTACAAACAGCTCTGCTCTGCAGTGACAAGGAAAATAATAACCCCAAGTTTTAAAATCTGAGAGAGGATAACTAGCTAGGGCACCTTAGTATCTTTTGTTCTGTTGAAAGATGAGAGAATGTTCATTCTGGCTCAAAAAAAGGAATATATGAGAAGAAGAAGGGCAAACCCACAACTAGCTTAAAATTAAAACATTAAAATGTTTCACATGCCATAAACATCTCAAACGGTTACAGTATGTAAACATGTTAAGAATAATTTTAAAACTATCCAATCTGAAGGCTACAACAGGGCTTTAAAACCAGAAATGGTAATTTCTTCTTTAAATTACTCCCTTCCTACTGTTTTCAATATGTCAAACTATTCTAAAGATTGTAAGCCAGTTAATTTTAGAGTTAAAAGTTTTGTCTCCAGATCATAGATGGACATCTAAAGACTAAAGCTGGCTTTCCTACTGCTTATGATCACATAGTGATCATTACCACTGGATATATTAACTTGTTTAATATTATTTTATGACTATTCAATAGGCCTAGTTAAAATTCTGCAAGAAAATTTCCTGGGGGAGAGGGTACGTTCATTTCATAATGATATTTTAGTCTTCCTCTCTATAACGTCTGTTTTGAAGTTTAAAAGGAGCATTTATGCTATTTAACTTTTCAACACAATATAGTCAGATCATTGCCAATTGTAAATGTGTCAGTTTTGTGTCCCTGGTGTAAATGGACAAATACCTGTTAGTAACATCTGTGCCTGGCAAGCAGACAGTTTGCTATTTACATAAGATTCCTCCTAGTTCTTAGGTAACAAGTCTCTTCCTGACATTCAATCAGAAAATAGAAAGCCAGTGTTAAGTGTTCAGCATTATCAGGTCAAACGATAAAGTATTACAGTACATATTGCAAACAGATAGCTGCTGCTGGTATCTATCAAGCTTGATTTCTAACAATTTAAGTCTGAATTATGCATGTTAACTGATACAGAGGTTAGGTCTCCCAGTCCATGAAAGCAGTGCATATGTGTTCAGAAATCTCCTGTAACAGATGTATCTCTTAGGATTGCTAAAGGAAGGTGGTATTCAGTTGAGTGGCATTGATTTTGATGGGAGATTGCTCACAAATGCAATCTGTCTTCCACTTTTTGGAAACCCTTGTTCTTGAGCAAAAAAACCTTCAAATGTGCATTCTGCTAAGAAATAACAGAAATCTATGTTGTTCTTCTTTATAAGTAACATGAGAACTAATATATACACAAATGTCAGTTTAGCAAAGAGACAATATAAAGTCAGCAAACTTTTGCAAATAAAATTCTAATGACAGTTTTAGGATTTCTCAGCAGGGTTGCCAATTAAATGTCATTGTGGTTTAAACTGTTTGAAATTATGGGTAATATCTGCATGTATTACTTAAATCTTGGTGATCCAAACCTTCACACAGTTCACGCAGTAAACATTTTCCTAAAAACCAGAACAACTCTCACATCTCCCATATACCTTTTTAGGAGGCCCATGAAGTTTGTGAAAGGAACTCTCTAAAGAAACATTGCAATAATGTCAGTCTCACTTCAGTGCCTGGTAAAATCATGGAAAAGATTATTCCAAGGGGTATTGAAAAACACATGGAGGACTACTCAGTTATCAGTCAGAGCCAACACGGCTTAATGAGGGGAAAATCCTACTTGTCAAATCTGATTTTCTTCCGCAACAGGGAAACCCACCCAGTTCATCTAGGAAAGACAATAAATGTAATCTTTTTGGACTTCAGTAAAGCTTTTGATATTGTCTCACACAGTGTCCTTCTGAACAAAATGTCCATCATACAGCTGGATAACTGTGTTATGTGACGCGTGAGCAACCGCTTCACAGGTCAGACACAAAGCATTATAGTGAATGGGATAACATCAGACTGGCAACCCCCCCACTGGGGGGGTTCTGCTCCATCCTAAACCCAGTTCTCTTCAACATCTTCATTAACAACCTGGACACAGGACTCGAAGGTACACCAAGTAAGTTTGATGACACTAAATTGGGAGCAGCTGTTGACTCCCTCGAGGGTACAAGAGGCCCTGCAGAGAGACCTCGACAAATTAAGAAAGATTTAACAAGGGAAAGTGTGGGATCCTGCACCTGAGATGGTTGTGCGTATAGGCTAGGGAACAAGAGGCTGGAGAGCAGCTCTGCAGATCTGGGCATCCTGGTCAATGGCAAGTTGAATATGAGTCAGCAGCGTCCTGGCAGCCAGGAGGGCCAACTGTGTCCTTCAGGGGCATCGGGCAAAAGCATCACCAGCCGGTCGAGGGAGGGGATTGTCCCGCTCTGCTCTGCACTAGTGCAGCCTCACCTTAAATATTGTGAGCAGTTTTAGGTGCCACAATATAAAAAAGACACTAAGCTATTAGAGAGTGTCCAAAGGAAGGCCACAAGGATGGCGAAGGGTCTGGAGGGGAAGCCGTATGAGGAGCAGTTGAGGTCACTTGGTCTGTTCAGCCTGGAGGAGACTGAGGGGAGACCTCATCACAGTCTTCATCCTCCTCAAGAGGGGAAGAGGAGGGACAGGTAATGATCTCTTCTGTGTGGTGACCAGTGAATGGGTTGAGTCAGGGGAAGTTTAGGTTAGGTATCAAGAAAAGTTTTCATCCAGAGCATGGTTGAGCACTGGAAAAGGTTCCCCAGGCGAGTGGTCACAGCACCAAGCCTGAGTTCAAGAAGCATTTGACAGTGCTCTCAGGCACATGGTGTGATTCTTGGGATGTCCTGCACAGGAGCTGGACTTGATGGTCCTATGAGTTCCTTCCAACTCAGTTTATTCTATGATTCTGTGATAATTTAGAATAAATTGAGCAGCAGCTTTCTCAGGTTGTAACCCTATCTTTACGCCTTCCCTATTAGTTTTAACCTGAATAAGCAGCCAAATACTTCATCATTATTAACTGAAAACAAGGGTTTCTTCAATCATCCATAGTTGATTTTTAAGTCATAAAAGTGACTTAATCACCTGTAAAAACACTAGGATTTGCCATGTTACTCAAACGAAGAAAAAAGCAAATGCAAGACCACTAAGGAAAAAAGTTATAAACCCAAGTACAAGAAGTTAACTGAAATTGACACAATTATTATTAAGACATTTACCTAATTGAAACTAATCTCATTTCATATAAAATAGATTAATGACTTTAAGCCAGTACATGGTGGAAACACAAAACATTTCTTTTTAAGAAAATCATGTCATTCCATAGTTTGTTTTTTGCTGCTATAAAGTGCCCTGGATATCCACATCAATATGTAGTTTATAAGTAATTGCTTATAAGACACTTCGAAATGACACACAGCAAACCATTAGTTAATTACTTCCTTCAAATCCTGTTAGTTCTCTGAATGGCAAAAACATGCACAACAGGTGATTTTAGCCTACCATCCATTTCTGGATATGAGCCCATTTTCTATCACATGAACGCTGAGAAAACTACAGAATGTAAAAAGAAAAACAAACAAACCATTTACAATATAAATTAGTCACCACACAAGACAGGATTCCTAAATTGAAAATTCAGAAAAATCTAGTTAAATTGCCATGTAACCTTCAGTATAATACCAGATACCTAAAGCAGTTCAAAACCTGAATCTGTGGCCTAAGAAGAACCAGATAAAATTAAGGCAAAAACTGTTTTGCAAATGGCACTTGTTATTATCACAGAAACCCCTCCCCACAACAACCAAATATCAGCAATCCACTGATTTGAACATAATCATTAAAAAGAATAAGTTCTCAATCTTCTCCACGCAATGTCAAAACCTGAACTAAATACAATAACCATGAAATAACCAGACTGCTGAAAACCTAGTTTATAGAGTTTTTTTTTCAAGAAATGCAAACTTTTATTTTAGGAGAAATGTGTGGAGCAACACACAAGTGTATGAATAAATATTACCCCAATTTTATTAATTTTTTAAAAATAAATATCCTGACAATAGGTTATTTATTGTGAACACTTTCAGTATAATCCAATCCTAATGCTGAAAATACTAGCATGCAGCTGAATTACACTAAAAGAAAAAATCTTATGAAAATGCGTAAATAAAATATGTTAATAATTTTAGGACAGGTTTATAAGAATTCCTGATGAGTTACACTACCTCTTTTTGCTGTCGCTCCAGCTCTCTCATACGTATATCTCTTGCTTCTGCTCGAGCTGCTCGTTTGGCTGCAAGTCTGGCTTCTGCCTACAAGTAGGTTGAAAATACTGAAAGTTAAAAACATGTTTTCTGAATAATGGTTTAAGTACTCAAATTAATAATCTCTTCACAATTACACATTCAAATTCAAACATCACAATACAGAGGAAGTAAAGAATTCAGAGTTCTCAGAAAGAAATTTCAGAAAGAATACGTACCCAACTTTACAGATATCATTGCTAGTCAAAAGAATTACATGTTGATAAAAGAATCAAAGAATGGCTTGGCCTGGAATGGACCTTAAAGATCATCTTCTTCCAGCCCGCAGACCAGGTGCCACTAACTAGATCAGGTTGCTCAGAGCCCCATCCAACCTGACCTTGAACACTTCCAGGGACGGGACACACACAGCTTCTCCGGGCAACCTGTTCCAGTGCCTCACCATCCTCACAGTAAAGAATTTCCTCCTTCCCTAAATGCTACCCTAAATTTAATCATGAGGAAATAAAGTTTGCCATAAAGCTAATGTTTGAGGAAAGCACAAACTCAATTTCTTCATGTTTGAATAATGAGTTGACAAAAAATTCTGTCTTAAAGTCTTGAAATACTAACCCACTGAAGAAGGTTTTCCACCAAAAATTCCAGTTGCCTACTGAATGTTAATTAAAAATTTATGAGAAACAGCAGCAGCCAAAAATTCAGAACTCCTAACAACCAAAACATTTAATTTTGTAGAACTTCTTAAAAATGTAAAATTCAGTGGGATTTTGCCTTTGATTAAGGATAGGTTTTTTCCCCTGCTTTTACCACTATCACAGCATAGGTTTATGTAAAACACTGGAAACTTATAAAACTTTTTACTGTGCTTCACAAAAATTAAAGGGATTTTTAAGCTGGAGTTAAACTACAAATTATTATTAAACTATAGGTACAAATCTATTGAATAATGACAAGAAAGAAGGCAGACACATTATAGCTTTATTGCTCAAAATCGTTTGTCTTAACTTCAAATGAATCTCATGAAGACTGTTTTTCTGTATATTGCATACTCAGATAAAACAATTCCAAGGCTGTCTCAAGACTCCTGACTGCCAAAATATAATCTTTTTCCTTCTACGTGATGACAACACACAAGTAAAGCAAGGAAATTCCCATGGAAAAGGAAGTACTCCCCTTTGCAGCCCTACTCTGTAATTATCACTCTGTTGCATATAAACTGTCATATAGCTAGGGATGCAGTACAGAAAGGACTCAAAGTTCTGATATATCTGGGTTGAGTTCTGTCTATAAAACAGAAGACATTGCATCTAGCCTTTAGGCTTTGACAAAACTTTACCATTAAAGATAAAAAGTTAATTTGTTTACTGATTCAAGCTGAAAATCAATTCACATTTCACCACTCTCCTAGTCCTACAGTCAGAGACTTAAAACTTTCAGATTCCTACAGTAGAGGGGAAATTCCATTTCTTCTAATTTACTAAACCCTTGATAAAACACAAGTGAATTCTACAGTAATTAGTCATAAAATAGACGCTTGAAATTGAAGAAAAAAAAAAATCTTTTTTAGAGAAATTTTTTAGCAAGAAATGGTCTGGTATTACATCAATTATTAATCTGAGCAAGTAGATGCCTCTAAAAATCACACAATTCCAAAAAAGACAAAAAAACTTGGCAAGTTAACTGAAAGCACAGTTCTCGGGCTTCCATCACCAAACTTAAAAGGAAGAGACAAATCATAGTAACATTTGAGAGGGGTCATGACACCAAGTACTTTTTTATTCTCAGCAGACCTGTTAGAGCACAGGCCTCATGTTACCAACACAGCACTCATATAAATCTTCATAACTAAGTACCTGAAATTCTAAATTAACAATCAAAAAGAAACAGCTCTAATTCCAAAGGATATAGGTTTTTTCCTGGATGCTGCTATTCACTCTGTTGCCTTACTGAAGAAAGCCCGTAAAAGTTGCGAAACGAATTACCCCCAACAAACCCTTCACAAATTAATTTTGTTGGCTACATTGAAATAAAGTTTTAAATATCTGCTAAGGAAAACACAGTGACTGTTAGGACTGTTAGTCGTGGGTCTGGTTAAGATGAAGGCTGGAAGCAGGTCACTGCACGTACCAGGAGGAAGGTTCCTCCTTCTTCACAGAATTTGACAGGTAGGGTTGCTACCTTCTGCAACAGGTATGAGGCTCTGGAACTAGAAGGCCAGACAACTGGTGAGGTGGGCAAAGGTCCTTATGGGGTAGTGGGGCCTCCTAAAACAACACCACCTGTACCCCACATCAAGACCTCCTCTGTCAAGAGGAAAAGAAGGGTAGTTGTAATAGAAGATTGCCTTCTAAGGGGAATGGAGGGCTTGATATACAGATTGGACACAACTCACAGGAAAGTCTGCTGTCTCCCAGGGGCTTGGGTAAGGAAAACTGGAAAACTCTCCAGTCTAATAAGGCCCTCTGATTACTGTCCACTATGGGTTATTCAAAATGGAAGAAATGAAATAACAAAGAGAAGTCCAAGGGCAATGAAAAGAAATTTCAGGGCCCTGGGGCGACTGGTAGAGGGATCAGGAGCACAGGTAATGATTTCCTCGATTCTTCTGGTACCAAGGAAGAATACTGATAGGAATGGGCAGATCCATCAGGTCAATGCATGGCTCTGAGGCTGGTGTAAGTGATAAAATTTGGGGTTTGTTGATCATGGGATGATCTACTAAACACCTGCTCTACTGACAGCTGACAGGATGTACCAGTCTCAGAGGTGAAAAAGAGTTTGTAGTGCAGGAACTAGCAGGGCTCATCGACAGAGCTTTTAAACTAGCTCGGAAGGAGGAAAGGGGCAAAACCAGGCTTGCCAGTGATGAGCCATGGGATGGTATGCCAAAATTTGAGGAAACAAGCACTCGTGGGATCCCTCAATCTGCTTCACAAGGTATTGGCTACAATGTACCACATCTGAAATGTTTCTACACCAATGCATGCAGCATAAGGAACAAAGAAGAGGAGCTTGAAGCTTTGGCCCAGTCCCAGAGATTTGACATCACTGGCGTAAGTGAAACCTGGTGGGATGCATCCTGTAACTGGACCAAGTTCTTCACCCAGGTAAGCGGTATGGTAGTACATGGAACTGATATGATAAATGTTTCCCTCCATACTCAGCAAGGAGAAGCATAACATCTGTCTCCATATTATAGACAGGCATCTTTGTCCTTTCCGTTGCCTGCAAGAAGGAATTCACTATAAAGCAAGAGTATTTTATTTTTAATTTTCATACTCTGGAGAAGATGATTTAATAATTAGCTCAGATTCAGCATAAAAGCTTCATAAGGATAAAATATAAGCTATAATAAAATGTTATTCACCTGGGAAAAAATTAGAATTATTCTGTCATCATGGACTACAACACGTGAAACTCGTTTCTCTCTCTGCCAAGCGTTATGCAGCGTTCACAGTCCCGCAGTTTCCAACTCAGGAGGCCCTTTTGATTGAGGAGTGTTTTCCTTCTTCCACCAGATGGCGGCGGCGAGCGCGCCGCCTGTCCCTGCCGCGGGGCTCCCTGCCTGCCACGGGCTGCATGGCACGGCACCAGGACACCCTGCCGGCTTGGGCCAAGCTGCAGGGTGAGCGTTTTACAAACGCTCACCGTATTTCTTAATACTTTACTGCACACGGCAAGTTGAAGTTTATTTCATCATTTCTTATTAAGCAAACATGAAAGAGTCTGTGCCCATGTGCCAGGGAGGTTGGAACTAGAAGATTTGTAGGGTCCTTTCCAATCCAAACCATTTTATCATTCCTCTCTTCTGCTGCTCATTTCTTCTGTATTCTCATTTCCATGCTTTTCACCCTCATCTCCTTACGGTCTCATGGACCTGAGGTAACAACATCAATTATGTGCCAAAAGTATTTCTTATGCCTGCTCAGAAGGATCGTTTTTCCCCTTATTTCTGATGTCCCTACTCCAGCTGCCTACAAAGCAAAGAATATAAACAACAAAATCTTAAGGTTTAACATGACTTAAAGGCTTAAGATTCATCTATTATTTCTGATGTCTCTTACTCTTTTGCCATTTATTTTACATCTTCATATATAGATTAGAAAATCTCTAGAGTATCTTATATACATATATAAAATATCCTTACCACTATTAAAAACAAAAGCAAAGTAAACTTTGAATTAATACTAAAGATCGCTTAATAAAACAAATTTAAAAAATCATCTAGCATCCAAAAATGCAATATGTATGAGGGTGGGATTCTTTGAGGCTTTGCTTGTTTTTTTAAGAGAAGCTGAAGCTATATGCAGAGAAAAAACGGTACTGAGCTTTGAATAGATTCAATAAGAAAAAGACTGTGTTGTTAACTCTCTTTGTAAATTCACGATCTAGCCTTCAACATTTAAAAATATTGAACTCTTAGCTTTTTCTACCGTGACAATTCAGTAACATGACATCTTTACTAAAGTAAGAACTACACTCTACTCCAAGTCTGAGCAACTACAGAGTGAATTTTAAATCCAAATTAATCTTCCTTTCCCATGAGAAAACACCTCTTAAGAGCTTCAAGGCTCCTGCTACACAGTGAAAATAGTCATGAGAACAGTTCCTGAAAAAAAAAAACCAAAACACCAGAACCAGAGACAAGGTTCTATAAGGCAGAAATCAAGTGAATGCTGTTGCAGTTGTCATCCACAAGCTCTAATTCTCTGTCATCTTATTACTCAGCCGTGAAGAATGGAAGGGTTACTGATGGAAGCATGGAGGAGAAAAAAAGGCTATGAATGGTAAATCCTGGTTGTGCCTTCCAACAGTTGCTTATCAGATTGAGGACGGTGAGCTGACAAGAGTCAGACTTCTCACTATATTCATTGTAACTGAGCTTGAACCACGGTCAGTGTAAGAACACAGAAGTGACTGAAACCACTGTTCTTGCAAATAAAGCTGGTCTTGGAGAAAGAAGTTTCAGGTAATCATAGAAGATGCCTGGTGATGACAGGTTACTGCTAAATATTTAAAATGAACACAGCTTGTCTGTAAATTACAAAGACAAGTGAAGCAGTGATGGACAACTCAGCTGAAGATATTCTGTCCACAAAACACCTTAATGAGCAGAGAGTCCCCATAACAAATCCAAAAGGAAAACAGATCTTGAGATCATATCAGCTGTATCCAATGTAGATTGTGAACATAACCTTGAGAACATGAACCTCAGCTTTCATTTATCTAGTTATGTAGGAATCCTTTTTGTTTAACAAATAAGAACATAATGTTGCCAGGAGCCTGAAGTTACGCTAGACAATCCTTATCTGTACTTTGGGAGGGTAGAATTTTCCACACGACGTAAGAAGCTGTCTTCCACACCAGGTGGCTTTATTCTTTGTCAATCTGAGAATGTTAACAGTTTCAGAATCCATTACATCAGCTAGAGAAAGAATCAGAAGATGGTATAAAGAACTCTCTATATTTTCAGGAGATAGGTCTTTTTTTTTCTTACAAGAGATAAGTTGCCTTCAAATTAATCTTGCTATAATTAGAATACACTTGCCATTACTCCACTTTAATGTAACTGTATGCATTTCACTCAGAGTTCCTTTTCTTTGCCTTGCAGGGAACACATGGACAATATACCTACACCTGTTCCCACAGCTTTTGAAACAAACACGATAAAGTCTACTGTACCAGGGTAAGATGCCAAACTGATCAACTGCAACTAATCTCACTTCAGACACAGAGTAAGAGGGAGAGTGCATTGCTTCCAGAAAAATATGATTAGATAGATCTCTGTCCCTGTATATGTACATCACCTTTACTCTTCCCCAGTTCCAGTGAGCAAGGGAATTCAATGCCAGGAAGAATAACACATGACAGTATAAAAAGTAGGTCCCAAAGAAAGAGGTTTAGTAACGCAAAAGTTCTTGGAATAACGCATCAATTCACTCTAGTTGATGCTTTATCATATTTGTGTCTAGCACAAAGACACTGCAAAAAAGCTTGTCTCGATGCAAACTCCCACAGCAAGGAAAAGTTGTGATAGAGCTCGCTACATACCAGAAGTAAGTACGAGCAGAGGGGAAGGAAAAAAAGTTTTCTGATGAAGAGGAAAGATGGAAAAAATGAAAGAAATATCAAAGACGAAGAGGCCCTCAGATCCTATGATAGTGCTTATCTTACATTAAATATTTTTCATATAAAATGACAAATCAGATTCAACGAGTGCAGAAAAGTGACTATATGGAAATTAATTTAGTGGATCAATACCAAAGAATTCGTTAAACGGTAATTCCTAGAAAGCAGTATTTACTGGTACCAACGCAAGATACCACGTTGTTTGGGGTTTTTTTGACACATGCCATAGAACACAGAAATTGCAATTTTGTCAAATTAAAAGTGTTGACAAAGAACAAAATTAGTACACTCCGAAATCCAAACTTTTGGAGAAAAACCACTCTGAAATGTCATACACTACATTAGAGATCTTTGCTACTATTACAAACTCGGATAATTCCTAGTACCATTTTGTGACTGCTCTGAATCCCAGAGCATTTCTGTGCAGTTGCACCATGCAGATCATTCTGAGTGCTGCCTTTTGTTTCAGCATATTCTGTTTGCTATCTCTTGATACCTACAACACTTTCCACAGAAAACATGTGGATTACAGGACTCAGTCCTACTGTAGTAAGTAACATCTACTAAAAAGGTAATTTCAGGAGAGGAATTTGAGGAACAAAACACCATTTGACAATAAAAGATAAGCAAGTTATGCTGCTGAGATAATGGCCTCAGAACAAACTATATCTACTCTATATATTCATGCACTGAGAACTGACATGCCGTATGTCAGCATACTAACTGAAAACTTTCCCAAGCCTCAAATGATAAGGCATATATTCAGCACAGTAAAATCAGATGTTATTTAAAGACAGAACTTAGGATTTAACAGCAGAAAAGCCTGTTAACGAATTAAGAAACGCACCCTGTTCCTTTAGAGTATGTTTTCTTCAGAACAAGGTGGCTAACACTATGAGTTACAGCTACCAATTCAACGACAACAGCCACTGTTTGACAAGGGATGTGATGGCCAACTTCTCCTATACTGACCCAGGGATTAGTAACCTGACAGTAGTATATGCTGTGTGTACACAATATTCATGATGACACAGAACTTTTCACACGACTTCTAAACTGGATAGTAATTTTGAATTAAGACTGTTGAAGAGAAACCTGGATTGTTGCAGTATGCTTTTAGGATATAAAAGAATGCAGACGTTTGTAACGTTGTTAAATTGACCATGCTTCCAAGATGGTGATTGTGACTCTTTGTGTAACCCTTCTTCTTCCCAAAACCCCTCAATGTATCCTTGGAATGTCTGAGAGATAACTAGAAACTCACCTATTGGCTGTTAACCCCTTCTTGTAATTGGTTGGTTTGTAACACCTCCCTTCCTCCCAGAATCGTTATAAGCTGCGGGAAATTTGAATAAACTCTCTCTGCCTGCTTCCCTGCTGCCTGACTGACAACCCAGTGGTCTCTCTGGGGGCCATGAGGCGCCACAGGGTGGGGGAACCAAGGGGAGGGCACTCCCCCCCTCAGAGCAAGGGGTAAAAGGAAAGGCTTCTTGCGCCGGGGTTCCCCCTCCCCATCCACCACAGCGTTCGTCACTGGATAAGGCAATAAAAGAGAAGAAAGGGGGCTATACGCAACTTTGAAAATGTCTGTGTAAGGATAACAAACCATTTCATTCTGAAATATATTGAATTTTCTTCTACCTAACAAGCCATGAAAGGTGATGCTCAAAATATAGAAAAATACCAGAGAAAAAATAATTTTAATGAGAAAATCAGAAGGAACATTTAGACCACTTTAATTCAACTAGGTTTTAAGAATTATTACTAGGCATAAAACAGATAAAGATTATATGAAATACCCACCCCTTAAAAGACATGATCAGCATAAAAATTTTGGTTATCTTCAGCAGATTCAGATTAACCTCAAAATACTGAATAAGCCTTATGAGCTTTTCAGCAATTTCCTTTTCCAATTCATTTCTGACAAGAGAAAAGACAATATACCTTTAATTTCTGGAACAGATGTGCAACTCACATTATTTTAGTGAGATAACACTTATAGTGGTGAGTCCCAGTATTCATTTCATTTAGGACTAAGGGTAAATCCCCCTTGATTTTTGTTTAATTTACACTCATGCTCAAAATTTTAATTGATGGGTTTAGTAATGTAAGAGAACAAAGCCCAACAGTAATTTTAAGTAAGAAAATATTTATTATATCTTGCTACTGAGACCTCTTTTTCCAGCTAAATGGCAAGTTGACGTTACTGTACTGGAACCATGCTAATACTCAAAGAATTTTAAGGCCACATTCCTTCTTCTTCATTAACTGTTTTCCCCAAAAATTGAGAGAAATAATTTGAGGAGTGAGACCATGCATGATTCAGAGACCCCCTCAGAACTTAGCTCGTAGAGCAAGACTTCCATTAGGAGTGATAGGAACATCACTTTCTGAAAAGTTACCAGCTGAATTTTTTTTTTTTTACTGGCAAAGCCCATCTTTTGCCTGCAGTCTATGATGGATACATTTGAAAAGGCCTAAAGAAACTTTGTTTTCAAAGACTTATCACCAATCTATTTTGTCTTAGGTGCACATATATAGACAGTTTACATTACAAAGTCAATTTGAATTTGCATTTTGCACTCATTTATGTATACTAGGGTGAGCAGCTTTGCAGATAATGTAGCTCAAAGATTCCGTATCCACTTGTATATGAACAGTACTAAGGCTTTTGTTCCCAAGACACAGCATTTCCTCCCAGAAAAGCTCTAGTCCAAACAGACCTCTATAATTCCAGTTGCCTTTTTCCTATATTCAGAGGGAAAAAATTCCACTTGGTGTCAACTTCTTGTTAATTGCACTTTTCACTGGTTATCTCCAGTCATCTGTTTTTCAGGTGGTGAAATTCTTGGTATAGTGTAATATTAGGCTTAGTTTGAAAGAAACATGACTTTTCATATTTGAAATAGAATCTATTACAAATATATTTTAATATGACTATTAGTCATTCAACACTAACACACTGTATTTACCATCTTGGGAATACTACACATTGTAATAGGATAAATGTGTAATTTTTTTAGTTTTACACTTGGGATAGCAACTTTATTTTTCATTTAAGCATGTAACTACCTGTAGAAATATCTGCTAAATTTAAGTATGATTCTGTAAAGTTACACTAGTCATACAATTACTACCTCACTGTGATGACATTTCAGTAAATGTGATTTTTTGATTGAAAATATTCTTAGGTTGTATTAATTGTCATACTTTTGTCTAATTACACTTTTTTATGCACAGCTTAAAAAACTGTAACTTTCTGGATAATGAGATTGCTTTCATCCCTATTTTTGAATTTAAGACACTTTGAAATTAGCAAACCTCTCTGGCAATGTTACTCAGAGCTTCATCTTCTGCAGAAAACCTGTCCTTCACTGGAGTTCTCTTCCGTCCTGATCCAGGAGTTCCCATTTTTATTATCTGGATCTGTATTTGAAAACATAAACAGGACAAAGCTCAGTTTTCATTCAGATCCGAAATTAAAAACAAACAAACAAACAATCTACAGTTCAAAATGTCATAAGTTTTCCAATTCTTTACTATACAATACTGAAGAAACCTACAGGTCATTGGCACATATTGGTAAAACTTTATCACAGTAACTTGTGGCAGCTTTATAGAACACCCCTGCACCCCACAAGGCACACACACAGCATTTCTCTACTCAAAAGAACCCACCAGTTTAACTGCAGCTTCAAGGTCAGGCACAGCTGTCAACTCTCCTAGTTCATTAACAAAGCCTCTGCAGTCTGTCACTTTGCGTAACTCCTAAAAAGAAGTATCCTTTTAATTTATGGATATGAAAAAAACTACAAGCAGCAAAGGGTTCAAGAATTAAATTTGCATGCTCATTTGAGTTCTCTCCAAAAAGCAAAGACAGATTCAGCTGACAAACTTTTCTAAGCATCCAAGCAGGTTAGATGAGGTTTAATTTTAATACAAGTGTTCTCATTCAGTTGTGAGAAGAACTGCTGTCTTCTAAAGTACAAGTTCTACCACAGTAGAAATAAAGACTTTTTTATGCTAAAAAACCATTCTCTTGCATAACAAGTTTCACAATTTGGGAAATGAAGAGAGAAATACGCTAGCATCATATATCCAGAATACAAAAAGTACCCTCTTATTTTTCTTCCAGAAACCTCTTATCAATTGCAAGCATATGAAAGTCACCAACAAAACAAAAGAGGCCATACAGCCACAAAAAACCTCTATTAGTTTTTTTCAAATATCGTAAAGAAATCCTACTTCTAGACATCCAGGTCCTTCCCAGCATCAGACTACAATTTGGTGGTAGTTCAGCTATTTCATATCAACAAGATAACTATCCCACACAGGGCGTGACAAAACACCTTATTTAGAACAAAAATTTCTTCCTGCAAATAGAAAAGGTCTAGAAGGGAACTACTATTAGCTATCCTTTTGAAACTGAACTGGTACAAGAACTATCCTTCATACAGGGTCTAACCAGCAAAGATTCAGTAATTGATTACAGCTGATTCAAAGGGGGAGGAAGAAACAAATAATAACGTGACAGGTATTTCTGTACAAGCGAAGTTTTTACTTTATTATTTTATGAGGCAATCACAAAGCCAAAATTCATTGGAGTACTTTCTGGCACTCAAAGACACCAGGTAGCATCACAGCATGTTTTTTCATAATATATTTTAGCTTCTATGCCTTTTTTGTTCCCCCCTTAAGTTTACACTGCTAGTCCTCTCTTTTCCTTGCAGGCAAGAAGATTTTTATTCTGCTTCAAATTATACAGGTATTTTACTATTCTTCATGTGCTCAGATGAGGCAAATAGAATATCTTCTGCTGAGAGAAAAGACAGCAAAGACTTGAAACTGATTGTCTCCTGCATGAGACAACTACTTGGATGGATGAGTGGAGAGCAGCAGATATTGTCCACCTTGAACTTTAACAAGGCTTTTGACACTTTCACAGTATCCTCATAGGCAAATTCAAGCAGTGTGGACTGGATGAGTAGACAGCAAGGCTGACTGAGAGCTGACAGAATAGCAGACTCCAGAGGGTCATAATCAGCAGCACAGTGTGTACTTGGAGGCCTGTCACTAGCGGTGTCCCCCAGGGTTCTATACTGGACCCAGTATTGTTTAACTGTTCATCAGTGATGAAGGGACGGATGCCTCCTCAGCAAGTTTGTTGACACAAAGCTGGGAGGAGCGGCTAATACCCTGGAGGGTTGTGCTGTCCTTCAGAAGGACATTGACAAATTGGAGAGATGGGCAGCACAGGACCTTTTGAAATCCAACGAAGTACAGGGTCCTGCACCTAGGGAAGAATTACCCCATCTACCAGTATGGCCTGGGGACCAAGCTGCTGGAAAGCAGCTCTGTGGAAAAAGGCCTGGGGGTCCTGGTGGACAACAAGCTGTCCATGAGCCAGCAGTTTGTCCTGGTGGCCAAGAACACCAATGGCATCCTGGGGTGAATTAGGAAAAGCACTGCCAGCAGTCATGGTAGGTGATCCTCACCCTCTACTCTGCCCTGGGGAGGCTGCATCTGGAGTGCTGTGTCCAGTTCTGAGCTCCTCAGTACAAGAGAGACATGGAGAGGGTCCTGGAGAGGGTCCAACAGAGGACAAAAAAGATGATTAGGGGAGTGGAGCATCTCTCATGATGAAAGGTTGAGGGAACTGGGCCTGTTCAGCCATGAGAAGAGATGACCCAGAGAGGACCTCAAAAATATATATAAGTATCAGGAAGGGTGTCAAGAGGAAGGATCCATGCTCTTCTCTGCAGTGTTGAGCAATGGAACAAGAGGCAGTAGGTAGAAACTGACACACAGGAAGTTCCACCTGAACATGAGGAAGGTGGAATTCCTTACTGTGTGGGTGACCGTGCACTGGAACAGACTGCCCAGAGAGGCTGTGGAATCTCTATTCTGGAGATACTCAAGAACTGTCTGGATGCAACCCTGTGCAATTTGCTTTAGCACAGCCCTGCTTGGTCAGTGAGGTTGGACCAGATGGCCCTCTGTGGTCATCTTGACCCACTCTGTGATACTGTGAAACTAAATGTTCCCCTTCTTAAAAGCCAGTATCTGCATAGGCCAGATACAACAATTATACAATAATCCTATTAATTTCAAGATGTTATTCTGAGATCAATACTGCAAGCGCAAAAGAACTCCTTTCTATTAAGATCTTAAAGGAGAGCTTGCAGTGTTTGCAGATAAATAGTAGGGGAATAAAACTATAGTACCCTAATGGGTCACAGAAGATACAGTACTATTGTCCAGTAAGAAACACACTCCTGATGGGAAAGAGTGGACATAAGTACACCCCTGGATTCCATCCATTCTTTCATATGCTGTTCATTCATTTAGCAGTGCAAAGTGTTTGGATAAAATACAGACGTTCAGACCAATATACAAGACTCACCTGCTAGGGAGTGTTTTTAACACCTGTCTGTGACTCATGGCTCAATTTATTTGTTACTCTTCCACAACATGATTTTGTTATTGTTGTTTGTTTTAGCTTTAATTCTGTTATTAGGTACCAGCACACTTTCACAAAGAAATACAAGATTCCAGCCTTGCTCTTATCAGAGATTAGGAGGGGTCTTAGAAGTAGGACAACAGAGCTCAAAATCAGGGTAAAGAGAGACTCTGGGATAAGGCCTGGCATGATTATTGCCACTGTTAATCCACCTGATAAGAGTTTGTATTTTTAGTCTTAAAAACAATCAAGCAAACATGTTTTGTACTCAGGTTAATTTAGATAAATACATGCAGAAGCAAATTGTAGATCTCTGTGGCAAAGGTTTCAGCTCAGAGCTACTGATTGCTGTCCATATTCAGAATAAATGTCTCCAAAAATCTGCATCTTTTTTCACAAACTCTAATTGGCTGACTTCTGATATTAAAAGCAGATATGGCCCTAACTAGAAGGCACACCAACACAATTTAATACTCCTCCTGCTACAGAAGACTTTGACAAGGTTATACATTAGCCACAAGAAAAATAATAAAATTGGCATTACAACAGATCTGTTCATGTAAGAACAGAACTCCAACCTATCTACTCAAAGTCACTAAGCATGAAATGAAGTTATTTTAATTTGTACATTAAGGGCCATATTTCTTAAGTGTTTACCACATACGCAAAAACCACAGAGTAACTGCACATATCATAGACTTGAACTGCATTTGTTCACATCCTTTAAACAACATGCCATTTCTAACAGACAACTAACTTGGGTTTATTAATTCAGTGAAATGTTCTTAGCTGGCAGACTTGAGGAATGTAATGAGTTATATAGCTATTTTTAGTACAGCTATGTTCAGATGAACATTAAGTACTAATTTACATAGAGTAGTAAATTCATAAAAATTATATGCTGATGCTTTAAATAAGCAAAATACACTTCATCTCAGTCTCACTGTGGATTAACTGTGACAGCCACTGTGGAGGAAGGAAAGTGTGGCATCTCTGCCCGCCATCTGCCATGCTTCTCACTTAGGGTGAACACAGAACTCTCACTGAGCCCAAACACAAGAGGGAGTAGGGACAGATTACACAGAAGGTATAGAGAGATGCTACCTCTGCCTACAAGGAGGAGTTAGGAAAGGAATTCGGAAAGCCAAAGCTCAGCTGAAGTCAAAACAGGCAAAGAATGATAAGGACAAAGAGAAAGGCTACTCTAAGAACACTGGGAACACATGAAAGACTAAGCAACCTGTAGGGCCAATGCTTAGTGGCTTGCAAGGTCCATCCTTGGCAAAATGGTCTGGATAATAACAAATGTGAAGACGGAATTTTTTGTGTGTGTGAATCAAATAAGCAAAATTGTCTGACAAGGTTTTGGCCCAAAACTGGTCACACTTGAAGAACAAGAGGGTCATCAGTAAATAAGCAGGAAATTAAATAGTAAGTAGGAAATTAGAAAGAAGTGTTTGAAATAAAGGAATCCTCCTGAAAATAAATATATATTAAAAAAAAAAATTCAAGTCTGTACCAGTGTGAGAAACTTTGGAAAGGTAACAGCATCAGTAAAAAACTGTTTTGATGCCAGACGTCACCCCACTGACTGTATCATACTATCTGTTCAGGCCAGACAGTACCGCATCTCTCCTGAAGAATCCAAGTTCCTGGTCTCCAGCTAGCAGATGATCAGTACAGGGAGGGTCAGTACACACCTTAAGTGCATCAATGTGAGCTTGTAAGGTATGGTCTCATTGCACAGGCATTAGGGCATAGCACAGCATACACTAGAGAATAGCAAAAGTACATGCAAATCTAGAGTGCCCATATATCCAGCTGCAATCATGTACGGATAAGGGACCCTGGAGTTGAAGAACAGAGAACAGCTAAACATTGACCTATAGAGGCCATGAAAAATCCATACCTAAAGACAGTAAAAAGACAAGGCTCTGAGAAACTGTTTCTAATTGACTACACTTTG